GCCTGACTGAATTCTAGTGATTTTAGGAAACTTTTTATCGGAAAATTAAACGGCTCCGTTTTTTAATTTGCAACATTTTTACCCTTCTTTTAAGATTTTCCAAGTTAAACTAAAAGTGTTTACTTTTTCCTGAATTCGGCTAATTCAATAGGAGTATTTTCATAACAAGACAAAGCCTCTATCAATTCTTGCCATTTTACCTATTTATGATGTTGATCAAATTCCTCTCACAATTGAAGGGCTCGGAGGACACGGCGCAATTTAGTGCTTGCTGTATCGAGATATACTTGTTTGAAGTTTCAAGATTACATGGATCCTCATGGCGGAAACAAAGTTTAAACTGACTTTTTGATGCTTAAAAATTGGGATTCGGGAGCGAATTTTCCACAGAATATGCAACTATACTGAATGAAAACTGCACTTATGCGCATTGTCCTCCAAGTCCTTCAATTCTTCTCTCAAACACTCTAATAAGAACTAACAGTTTTTGAACAAGTTAAAACATTTTATTGATTATTGATTGTATGATTCGATAGTAATGCTTGTAAAAGGAGGCATATACGCTGCACTGCCTTTATTTCTAGATTAGAATAAAGGAACTTGATTTACGCAGATATATTCTTGAATTCGATGCAAAGAAAAAAATGTCAAGTAAATCAAATAGAAAAGATTCATGTATCGAGAAGAAAGTTGCGTGTACCAGACAGAAACTTGCTTGATTAGACGAGAAAATGTTTTCATAATGGCTATCATAACCAAGTGGATTTGACGAAGGCATTTGTAACTTCATGAAATGGTTTACTTTTCTATCGCTGTGTTTAAGTCTCTAAGCTTCCGTGTGTGTTTCTTGACTCACCGAAGATGTTGAATAACTTTATTTTTCTTCATCGCTCCGACCAACTGGACTGGACGAAAAGGGATTCGCCACTCCATGAAACGGTTTACTTTTCTCTCGCTGCGTTTAAGTCTCCAAACCTTCCTGTGTGTCTCCCGATACTCATTAAGTAACACATACTGATACAGAAGAGTCGCTTTCATAGCGCTCTTTAGGGCTTTGCGACACCTAACCGCCACAAAACTCGGTCCTCCCAACACTGAAAAAAAAGTAGCTTGGATCAAGCATGATAATTCTTGAATTTGCCGCCAAGAATTGTCTTTATCTTGCTTTAAGCTAACTTTTTCTTGATTCAAGAAAAATAATGCTTGGGCTAAGCAAAAAAGTAGCTTATTTTAACCAGCAAAATTCTTGATTTAAGAAGAAATACTTCTTGGCGGCAAATTTAAGATTCTTTTTTTTCCAGTGAAACCCGGCAGGGAATTGGCACTTCCTCGTTTCATTTAGAATCCCCTGTCGCCACCCATGCACTGGGCGCCTCCTTCGTCTCCTACCAGGCGGAACCCAATCAAGCTTCTTTTCGGGAGCCTCTCCTCCGTCGTTAAGCAATTCCGTTATCAAGACAAGAGGAAGTCTTTTAAACGGCAAATTCAAGTCACTTTCCTTCTCATCGAGGACAACCGAGCCATTTTCCTACTATACAGAATCATCCGCAAAAAAGTCAGCGATTTCCGACGGCAGACAACGCCGCGCAGTGGATGAGTCCATAAGAGAGATCGGACATGAAATTTTTGACTAAAACTGCAAATTTTAACGCATATTTCGTCACATTTTCAATTTTAAGGAGTGATCAGAAGCGGATTCAGCGATTTGACAACATCGGATTTCCTCCATTTAAACCTATGCTAAATAATCGATGCTTGAGGGAGCACCTGACCCCTCTTACCATCGATACATTTGCATAGGTTTAAATGGAGAAAAGACAATGTTGCCAATTTGCTGGATCCGCCAATGGGAGTGATTCTAGTGGAAAAGTTCACGAGAAAACCAATGAAACCACTTTTAGAACCTCAAAATTCTGGGTAAACGAAGTTTTGGGCTTTTCAAGTTTCCAAAATTTGTCCGACCTCTCCTATTGACTCGATCCACCGTGCGCCGGCGGGAGCGCAAATATGCAGACCCCGGTGTAAACACGAATTGGTGCAGCGCGGCGTTGCTCAAACATCTGCCTTCGTGCGGGCCCCACGAACCGGGGGGGGGGGGGCGGGGNGGGGGGCTGGGGGCATTGTTTTTGGCTGCACCGTGAAAATGATGAATGGCGAAGCGCGATAATGGAGCATCGCGAATTCGCAGCGCTCTCCATCGGGACCCGCGCGCCTGCTCCTCGTTTTTTGACCAACCCTCATTTCAGTCGAGCAGAATGGCGTAAGCACCATAGGATCATTCTGGCAGATATGTCTTTCTTTGGATAAGATCTTAAATTTGAGGGGATATTACATCGAGAGATTTACGCCCCCCCCCTCCATCCTCCGTCGCTTAGTTATCCCAGTCGAACACCATACCATTTCCAATCTCGCTATCCGCTGCGATGCTGATTCGATCTCAAATAAGTTTTTTTTATTCGATGGTGTTATGCATATCAGCTAAACGTAGATTTAGAATTTTATGAAAAGACGTATGTGCAATAGTAAACGACTGCTTTCATACGTTAAATAGGGATGCATACGAAATTGGAAGGCATGGTAATAAAGCACTCCTTTAGTCATAACATAGAGCATTTGCGAAATGCACCCATGACTCATTTAAATCCATAGCCACTTGGGAGCTTTCAATTGTCGTGTAGATGTGACCCTTTCTAAGTAAAATTAGATAGATTTAACTCAAATCAACCTAACTACACCCCAACATTGTCTTGTTTACTTGTTTTAACAATGAGACCGTGCAACGTTCTGACGTGAAATTTTAAGAGCATATTTTTTTATATTGAAGAAATTTTAGCGGCTCTGGTGCTTGCACTAGAGCTGCTATTCCGGACGGTCCCAGCTGGGGAGTATCAACGGACCATGTTACATTGGAGAGACCGCGTGTTGGTCGATGGGAATCGGCGCCATTTTCTGCTGTTTAGGGGGGACTGATTTTATTTTAATTGATATCTTTTTCCTGTGAGCGAATGCTATGTTGTGTAGTGTATTTTTGGAATCATGGTGATACTGTCAATAATTTAAAACGGGTCTGTGCTTTAATCTCGCACTGGAAAAAATTTACTTTACGTTTAAAATTTGAAAATTCAAATCCGTAAGTTTTCGCGCTTTTTTCGAAGAATGCCGTGGTTGGAGCTTCCTAGTCATACTACTCGACATCAGCTGATAGCAAACAAAGGTTACCAAGGAAACCGTAAACGCGTAACAACTACCTACCGTCGCCACTCGCCAGAGCCGCTTTCCGACGCGAATGCGTTGGAGCTTCCTGCTTGTTTAAATAATTCCAAGGCATTTCTTTCTTAGTTTCCTCTGAAAAAGTATAACACGAGAGAAGAATAGGCAACCTAAATGCGGATCGGCTGATTTTGGTTAATGTTGTTCAAGTTTTGCATTAATACAGGTTGTCAGTAAAGTTACAAGTGCAAAAATGTTAAATAAAACATGCTCTATGTATTATGCCACTAATGAGTTCAAATGTCGATCAATCATTGTGCCTCCAAGGCTTCTTTGTGGAGTTATCGCACAAATGCCTCCTTGCGCCTTAACTTTGCTTAAATTTTTCTAAAGAGCACGCAGATGTGCTGTAAAAAATGAAAGAAAAAATCCCAGTGTAGATATGACTGGCTTGTAGAACGCTGGGGAATCTTGCGACGCTGTTGATGACCAGCAAGGATGAATTCTATTTTTCTCCATCGAGCGTGGGTATTTCGAGTAACGTTGTCACTTGTTAAAAATCTATTAAATTTAAAAAATAAATTCGTATGCAACAGACGTTATATTGTTTTAAATAAACGTGACAAGCCTGAGATTTGTAGAGTGCCTGAATCACGAGCCAGTGAGTCTGCAGAAACAACACTATGGCGGCAACCAACTTCACTCTATCGGGCATGGGATCAAAATATGCTCTATTTTGCTGGCGTAGAAATCACTTTTTCTGAAAATTTAGCAAAAGTGAAAGCTAGATTTTTTACAAGATTTACGATACTTAGCATCTTTCTCCATTGTACTTTTCGTCGCTCCTCTGACGTAAGGACGTATCTCGATTTACACGTGAGCCTTAGATAGCATGAATTTATATGTAAAACAGGGCTCACATGAAAATTGGGATACGCCCTCACATCAGAGGAGCGATGATTTGAGCTAATTTCTAACCTCAAAGGATTTGTCAGTATGGTTTGATTTTTTTTAAAAATTCAGGAGGCATAGCGGCACTGACTGAGATTATTTTTGGGAGAAAAACTTTTAAAAAATCTTCTTTTGGTTCATAAAACACGGTCCTGCACCAGGGACGATTCTTTCAAGTTAGCAACCCTGTTTTTTCTAAATTTAAATGTATGTAAAACAATCGATTCTTGATGAGTAGGTTTGCCTCATCTAAAATAGATATTTCTAATGGATTTAAATGGAGGGAAAACAGTGTTACCAGCTTGCAAAATTGCCACTGTATCTACACTCCGGTCATTTAACCGCAGGACACTTTGTATAACATGCCGATGATGGCCCACTTCAAGTCAGCTGAGTTTCCCGTGATTGGCTGCCACTGACCACCGATAGACGGTGCAATCAACGCATTATCGTGTCAACCACAAAATAGGTGCAATAGACTCTATGCTTTTGATAGGCTGTCGCGCAGGGAATGCACGTCTTCATAAATTGCTCACCGCATGTAGATTCTACTCTTTCGGCAGGCGTCCGTACAAACATTATGTTGCTAACAGCAAATCTTATTTACAAAATGTAGTCACTCGCGCTTTTTCTTACTAAATTCGAGAGGGCGTGAATTCTGTAGGTCACACTCAAGAATCATTGCCAAAATATGCCGGATGATTTTATATCGGAGGTGCATGCCAACCATCCTCAATGTATACATGTCGCTCTCTACGTCTGGAATACAACACTGACCTCAATCTAATTAGTCTTGCCTGGGTGTCGATGACTAAACTCCATGGTATTTTATTTTCCAGGACGAGGGAAGAAAGGTGGTAAAATGAAAGGGATGAAGAAAATGATGATGATGATGGGCATGATGATGTGTATGAAGATGGCCATGATGGGACCTCTCATGATGGGCCTGATCGGACTCAAAGCAGTTAAAGCACTCATCCTGTCAGCCGTATCGCTTACCATTTCCAAAATCCTGCTGCTCAAGAAGCTAAAGGTAAGATCTTACTTTTTTAAACTTCATTTCTCACACTTCTAACATTTCATTCCAGTGTATGAGGGTTTTTCTGGGCTGATTGAAACCTGTTGCTGTGAACATACCCGGCCAAAATTTGAACAAAACCTACGAAAACATGCGATCAACAATAATTTTTCTTTTAAAAAATAATACAGAAAAATACATCCTTCGTGCATGTTTTCGAATTAAATAAAACGCACATGTGAGGACAATGAGTTCTCACAAGCTGATTGTACTTTGCCAATAAATTAATATAACTTCAGCAAATTTTCAGGTGGATTTATTATGTATTTTAACTTTTTTTGCCGTCATACTTTATTTCAATGCTCCCCAAATGTAGTATATAATGAAGAAAAAGAAGAGCACAAAAAAATAAATCGTTTTAGCGAAAATTGAGGGAGGTACTGATCGATTTTTTTCGTTCAGTACACAAGGCTATTTATTGTGTATAATGGATTTCAAAAATATCAACATTAAAATGTAGTTTTTTCTTCAAGAGTATCTGAAATGTATTCCAATTCTTACATACACAAATTTTCTTATTAAGTTTATTTGAACCTTTTAATACCAAGTCGAATGAAAAGTGAAGCTTTTTACTTGAATTTTGACATAATTCAATTTTATTATTTTTATCTTCCAAGTACGATTATGACCGGAATATTCGTTTTACACACGCACTGAATCATTCTAATTTGAATATGTGATTTTTAGAAATAAAATGTGGTGGACGCAAGAGAGCCCTACTGACTGACCTGATTCAGGAACCAAAACGCTTATGAGGATTCACTGTTCTCAATGTTGATTACCTTTGTTAAATAAGTTGCACATACGTGTGAATAGTCATTGTACATTCTCATGGTTCCCCTAAAGTTGTAAATCAATGGGGTGTGTAAGTCAAATCGAAGGTAACTACAAACAGATTTTCTCTGCACGTCAAATTGCACTGGGAGACATAACCGAATTGCATCTACTAAACTGCTCACCCGTTCTGGAAATTTGATAGAATGACTGAAATTTGTAATATTCAAGTTGTTATTCCTCGAAGAAAACCCCTGGATTTTTATGCAACCTATTTGAATGAGGATAAAGCTGCAACTAATTTTTGAAGTATAGCTTTACGGGATACACAGTAATATTATAGGTACTGCTCTCAATAAAGTCCCACAAGCTCATAAAAAAGTTTTATATTCATATCCATTGAATTAAACATGGGTGAACGTTACCCTTGATTATAATACAGGATCTTAGGGTAAGACTTGAAATATCACTGAATAGATATACGAAAATGTTGCTTTGTGATGACTTGTGTCAAAACTCGCATGTCACCGATTGCATGATCAACCCTAAAAACTAGCTGAATTTAGCTGACTAATGTCACGATTCAGCATGTTCTCAAAGCATGTTGGCACAGGCACAGTCAATTTGGAATCGACAATATAACTGAATGTTAAATTGGACCAGAATTTTGTTCGCTACGCGGTCACCGCAAGTTTGACTGACATGCACAACCTTCGAATCCAATAAAATTCTGCAAGTTGAACTAGGTTTTGAGTTAGACCCATCCAGAAATCCTGATTGGTTCAATCCATTAATCAGCGATCGATTAAGCAGCGTGTCAAATATTTTTAACTGCGAACTCAGCTTGACAAGATGCCAGTGGTGTCATTGCCCCTAATCCGTACCGTGGACCCACCTTTACGTGTATTTTGTGGTTGTGTGGACCGGAAGTACCGGGGCAGTTGATAGGATGAGTAATCTTCCACAATTGCAGCACATTTTTCACCCTCCAACTCCTTCAGCCAATCAGGGAGGAAAACATTGGAAAGCGAAATATATTACAACCATCTACAGAGTGTTCGGAAAGTCCCCTCCTCCTTTAACTTTTTAACCTAATCGAGGTAGTCACAGGGAGCTATTTTTGGACCCCCCTAAAATTTTTGAGGGGCCCCTTGGGAGGAGGGAGATAAAGACTTTTTTTTCAAATGGGAAGACCCCCTTCGTGGTACCTCGTTCGAAAGAGCATTTAAAAAAGAACATTTTTCGCGTAAACCTGAAGTCATCATCTTAAACCGTTTCACAATGGCGGCCAGTCAAAGTTCAAAATGGCCGGAAATTGGCTCCTCGGCTACTTGCACATGGATTTGCCTGAAACTCGGTATCTGGAGGTATTTTGGCGTGAGAGAAACGAATTTGACGTTAGATTTTTTTAAACAGAAAACCCTTATTTATTAAAATGGCCGCCAGTTAAGCCAAAAAACTCAATTTTTTGCCGATGATTCCGTTTTTCTTAGGCCAAAATACCCCCAGTTACCGAGTCCATCGAAAAAAAATCATCAGCAACATTTGATGGGTCCGTAGCGTATCCGGCAGAGGATGATGTTAGATTGAAGTCTACATTACGTTACTCGTTCTTGGAATCCAGGATTCTACGGCACCTTCTCCGAGTTCATCTCTTCCTCATTCTTTTGAATAATTGGATTTCCATGCTCACACTCGGTCGCGGCCGGCGGGGCGGCCGGCGGACAGGGGCGGTGGCGGAAAACGCGGAAATTGCATTGTTTGTCGCGCACAATATCGCGGCTGATAGCCATGAAAACAATTCAGCGCACAATTAGCGCCCGATATTTCTTTGTGTGCCCTGCATTTGGTGTTTGAGGAGACGACGTACGCATTACGTGTAATGACCCCGCAGTGCTGGCCAACAACCGGCCATCACCAGGATGACAACTTGGGCAGGGAGCATCATATTTCTCCGACGGGCCCTTATCATATAAAGGAACACTGGGGAAAAAACCACATTGGATCTAGAGTCCAGACTCTCTTAAAAACATCGACAAGAAAAAATACTCTTGATTCAATCAGATTTAAGCTTAAATCAAGAACCAAGCCTCTTAATTTGAGCGGATTTCCTTTTGATTACTAAGCTTAAATCTGATTAAATCAAGAGTCCTCTTTCTTGTCAATGCTTTTAAGAGTCCGGACTCTAAATTCAATGTGTTTTTTTTTTTTTTTCAAGTAAAGACACAAACTGATTGCGGTAGACGCACGGGTCGTAAGACAGTAAGTTGGAATTTTTTATCCAACGTTCGTTAAAAAGCAGCATAAAGCTGAAAATCTCAATACAGTGGGAAAAAGCTCATATGAGCACAATTGTCCCGCAAAGAGATATGCTGTCTGGTGCAACACTCGTAACACGGTAACACTAGTAGAAGTCTGCAGTTGCCTTCCTGAATGGTCGTTACTAGCGTTGCACCAAACGGCGTATCTCTTTGAGGGAAAATTGTGCTCGTATGAGCTTTTTCCCTCTGTATTGAGTTTTTCAGCTTTACGCTGATTTTTAAGGCACGTTGGCTAAAAAATTCCAACTCACTGTAAAGGGAGACCCAATCGGGGAGGGGGGAAACATAGTTTTTGCCATATGGTTTGCAGCGTACATTATTGGAGCAGGTCTGCACGAAAATACTCTAAATGAGCAATACAAGATGGTCGAAGAAGCCAAAAATGTGATTTCTGGTCAAAATTTAAAGTTTTGTTATTTTTCCGGCGGGAATGCAATTCATACTACAAAGCACTCGTCAAACCGGACTTGACCTAGCAACAGAACTAAAAATCACACTGTATTACTAAAAGGAAGCAAAGGTGATTTCTGGCCTTCCTTGGTTGAATGAAACGGAAATTTCTGTGAAAATTCCAGGGCAAATACCTATTTTGAAAAGATCCGATACACAGTTTTCAATTCGCCATAGCTTTGCCAATTTTGAATCGTTTTGTTTACAAAATAACACAAAGAAATCGAAATTGAATTTGCTCCTTTTTGTCTTAATCAAAGTTCTATGTCTGGATACTTTGATTTAAAGAGAAAAAAAGAAGAAAAAACTTTAGGACGAAGGGATCAATACCAAAAACCACATTTTCTCATTTGCGAGATAAATGTTCATGTAGTTTTTCTTGGGATCCTTACTTCAATAATTGAACTCTGCAAAGGAAAATCGTTTCAATTTGGGAGTTCTTTACCTCCAAGCCTTTAAGAATACGTTCGGTTAGATTCCTAGGTCTATACTGTGACTACATAGAAGGCATCGTTCAAGGAGCATTTTTCTATCGTCGTCGTAAACCGTCCGACACTACCATTGCGGGTCATCTCAAGTTGGCAACACTCCAATGTGGACTTGCTCCATAGTAAACATATCTCCTTCTTTTTCCTCAGCACCATCATCCCTCCTCTCATTTATTCCTCCACCCCTTACTCCGCTGTTTCCTCACCCCCTTTTTCCATACCCCTCATTTTCTTCGTCCGCGAGCCAGATCATTCATGTGCCTTTTTAGGCATTACTCTATGCTAAGAACTGCATCGATAAGTCGTATTTGTCGTATATGGAGCAACTCTTTCGATGAGTTATTAATTTTATCAGGCAAGTAAAAAATATGCGTAATTAACAGCCTCTCAAAGAATCATCGGCAAGATTACAATTGCTCCTCACAGTTTTTTGAACGTGGACAGAATAGTGACCCATCAACAGAACCGGCCTTTTGAAATAAATTATAGAATCAGATTGCAGTGCTCAACATCCTGGTTTAAATTGAGGGGACTGCTTGCCTTATGTCATATCAAATAACGTTAGTGCATGGGCAGAAATAGGGGGGGGGAGGCGAGGGAGGCTCGCCCCCTTCAAGACTCTACGTGGTCCCTCCCAAGAAATGCGAGAGAATTTGCTAGGTGAGAGTGCGTGATATATCTTTCACCTTGAATATTATTATTTGATCGATTTTTCTATGAGACCAGCTCAAATTCCTCCTTAGACGACTCAACGTTGCAAAATTTTATGGGGAAGGCTCTCCGGACCCTCCGCCCCTTTTTTAAGCTAGGCATGACCTGCAAATTTCCCTTTGAGCTATAGGGGAGTCCCATAAATCCCTATCAGTCGGATCTTTTCTTGTGTCCCTAGACCCCCCTTGATAAGGTGCCCTTATACCCCCCT